AGAGAGAGAGAGAGAGAGAGAGAGAGAGAGAGAGAGAGAGAGAGAGAGAGAGAGAGAGAGAGAGAGAGAAGGGGGGGGCACGTGCCACTTCGTTTCTTCTTTGCCTCATGCCTTCCAGGAAATGTTCCAAGATGCACGCCCGGCATTATGGTTCCCACTACTCCCGACAAGTCCCCCACGCGAAGAGCAACTGCCAAGCAGATTGAATGCTGATTGTTTCATTCATACAATGCAAAACCCCTGCTTAACATCAGTGGCTGGCACTCCTATCGTTGGAGGCGACTTCCAACAACTTCCCGAGCCAATCATCAATGACATCATTGGAGCCCACCAAACTGAGACTCACCCACACGCGCATGCACTCGCAGACATAGAGTTTTGGAGCCGACCAAACTGAGACTCACCCACACGCGCATGCACTTGCACACATAGAGTCAAAACTCGGCAAGTAAGCACGGGGCATACATGCAAGATCGCTTTATCACAAACATATTCAGAGAACATAGCAAACAAAAGTCTGAATCGGAATCTTTAGCAAAACCGTCAACGGGACAACGGACAGGATTTTCTCACAGAAGTTCACAGTTCTTGCACAGCACAAAAAAAAAACGATGCAGCAAAGGTAGCGGCTTCCCAAACAAAACACTCGCAGATAAAGAAACAAAAAAAGTTCGGTGGTATTCCCTCCTATTTCTTGCACGCGGATTTCTGTCTGCTCTCAGGCTCTTCTTTTTGCTTTTGTGAAAGAAGCGGCATATGATAGGGCAGTTCCTTATGCTTTTTCTTTCTTTTGTGCTTTTTAGTTTTTTGTTTTTGCGGGCGAAGCCGCAACGGGTCATCTAGTTTTCATAAACCATAGTGTCTCTGTGTGTGTGTGTTTGAAGTACGTGGTGGTTCTCTAGGGGTTCTCGTTTTTAGTTGGTTGGGGACGGGGCGTTCCTCCAGCCCAGCCCACTTAGCATCACCCTGCCAGTTCCATGACGGTATCTTTTTAAGAAAAAGGGAGATAATTTTGTCGCCCACCCTATGTGGCTGAATGGTACACAGTGCGGCCACCTTGGGGTCAGCACATGTGCTGAATATGACTGCCTTTGTGACGTTGTGAGAGAGACAGAGAGAAGACCTGTTCTTACTTGAGTCTGGCAGACTCTGTGACACATGCATTTCTGTGCGTTATGGTTTTACGGGGACTTGGAACATGCAACGCTGTATGCGCATGCCGCATCTCTTTTGATTTCTGCATCTTGCTTTGTGCTCGTCTTTCTTCGGCCCTCTGTGGTTGACTTTCTGCCATGTGTGGCTGGCCAGACAGCCCCAGGACTGCTGCTTGTTTCATATAATATAATATATTTCTTTTTAATGCAGTGAACTGGAATCGTCTTTGCCATTGCAACTGCTCAGGTTGTATGTGAGATATGGGTGGAAGATGTGCAGCCTCTTGGCCTTCAACTAGCAGATACCATAAGCCATGGTGAGGCCCTCTCTTCACCTTCTTCTTTAAAAAACAAAACAATAATACTATAAATTCCTCTATATGAGTCTATAATATATAATCTATGGCAATATATATGAAGTGGTCTTGTGCCTTATGGTCACAACTCACGGCTTGATCTCATTCTGGGGAGCATCACCACGGTTCCTTTTTTTTTTTTTTTTTTTTTCAAACAGGTCCTTATGGTCCTGGCTCCATATCCATTCTGGGGAGCGTTAGCCCGGTTCCTTTTTTTTTTTTTTTTTTCCAAAATCAGGGTTGCATGCCTGCCGACCGCCG